GCTCAACATTCTGAAATATTCCGGCGTGATCGCGAAATTTAGACCAGGAAGAAGACGGGGTAAGGCGTTTTGATGGAACTTGATGCGTAATTAAGATACGTTCCACGTCCTGACCTTGAGACATATTTTGAGCCATTGTTGGTGGAACTGCGAAGTGCGAATGGGGAGCGTATTCTGCTGGGTGCGTATTGTTTGTCCCCTGACACCTCTCCTGATGAACTTAGCTAATGTGTTCCTTGCTATTAAAAATACTGTTTGCGCTCTTGAGAAATGCAACTCATGCTTCTTGGTGACTTCAATGTCCCCAAGATATGCTGGGAAACAGCCACAGCGTGCTCCAGTTGTTACCACCTTACTCAGAAATCTACTGTCTCTTTTAACGTTCAATATTTTACGAACTTCAAGCAACAAAATAGTATCCCGAATCTCCAGGGAAACAAGCTCGTTTCGACCCTCTCGGATTAAGATTTTATAAATATAACTGAGTGTGCCCCAGGTTTAGTCTCGCCTGACGGACCCCCTCCCCCCCCCCCCCCCCCCCTCCTTTGATATCGGGGTACCTCTCGGAGAAAGACTTTTTACCATCCTATAAAAGGAGTATTTTTTGTGGGGGATCTTGGGGCGTTCATCGATTATGCTTCAACATTCAAAAATCGTATTTATTTAGAACTGGGTACTGTAATGCGTGTGTAAGGAATCATATCGCATTTGACGAAGCATTTTAGAAAGCCCTATTGCTTGATACAACTTTTTAATTCTTCAGTTATTTCAAGGCTTGTATTCACGTCTGTGATTTGAAATTAATTATCGCTGACTTAGGCTTCAGCTATTGCCTATCTGCAGAAAAGACGCTATCGAATTATTTACGACAGATAGTTTTGACGGCGTGATCATTATAATTACAAAACATTTATAAAAACGATTTTCGTAGAGTCTTCTATCGGCGCAGAAGGACTGCCCGGGATTTATTATTTTTGGTCAGGATTGCGACTGGTTTAGTTTATTTCTATCAGCTTCTTAGCAAAGTTATTTTCAACGTTCTATTCGCCCTAAAAGGTCTTTTATTTGTTTCGATGTTCGTTCATCCTTTGTGCCTTCACCACACTGTCGTATAGCGACGCTACACATCAGCATTGTGCCATTTCGCACTGACATTTGCACTCCTATTTTAAGGTATCGCCATCAGCTAAATGAGTTTGTGCTCACATCATATATTTTTTGTTGCAGTTCTGTTTAATACTGGGTTTCTGTGAAAATATTCAAGGTTGTGTTGCTTTTTCTGCTTTGTGCTTGCGCTGATGCCCCCAATAGACGGCCTTCTGGTCGCATTTTGGGGCACCAAACGAGAATATTATTAGAATTATAATTATTCTGATGTGAATAGTCACCATTTTTCCGCTAAAGATTATGTTGGTTTCTGCGACAATTTTGCTGATCGCGATTGGTCATCGATCATTTGGTTCACTGATATTGATAAACACTTTCGTGAGTTCTCTCGCATCGTTCGAAAGGGGATGCACCGGTTCAACCCGTTAAATAAACCGCATGTTTTAGGTTCGGCTTTTTTTTAGTTTCACTAGAATTGCGCAATTAATTAAATAAGAGGCTGCACGCGCATAAAAATTAAAAAAAGAACAATCTCTTTTGATAAATAATCAGAATTTCCGCGCTTCAGGTCTCTCTGGAAGAAAATCATGAAGCGTGATCATCAGATGGTTGTTAATTCCGTTGAATTACATTTAACTCAAACTCCTAACGAGTTTTAAAAATATTTTCTCTTTCGATCCCAGATGAAAGGTGGGAAGGAGATCACTGTCTTGAACTCGACCATAAATGCTTGTCAAATATATGCCTACCACTACCAAATTGTATTTAGACGTCCCCTGAACACTCCCATTATTTCCCCACCAGCCGCCTTTCGTAATGCAACTTGCACTGCATTTTATATGAAGACCTATTACATGAATGTGTAATGAGGATAAAGCCGCCTTGGTCCTTTGGTCACGGTGGCATTCTGTCAGACATATTGAAGGACTATAGTGCAGTGCTCATCACTGTCCTTGTACTCATTTTTAATAACGGTATAAACACTGACGTTTCTTTCGTCGGGTCCGAAACAGCACAAGTTGTACCGGTACATAAGTCCGGTTCCAAAACAAATGTTTCAGATTACAGACCTATATTGCTTCTTTTTTTTGCAGGTTCGCAACTGTTCAAAACAGCGTTCCACAATATAATACCGTTTCAGCTTAAACATTATTTTATCCCTAGCAAACCTGTAGTTATTGAGTGCCGCTCGACCACAGCTAATTCCACATTTTACATTTAAACAGCTGCTCATGTCGTCTCTAATAGAGGCCAGCTTGACGTGACCTGCTTTAACTTAAGTAGAGCGTTTCACCTTGTAAATTCTGAGATATTGCCAGCGAGCTGTCAAAACTAGATGTTCAGATTTCGTTACTTTCCTGGCACAAAAGTCACTCGCGTGATAAAAAGTGTTTCGTTAGCTCGAATGGTAATTATTCTGCTACTTACCAGGCTACAACTGGGGTACCTCGAGCTTCTGTTCTCGATATCCTTCTGTTTTACGTTTTTTGTTAATCATGTCTCCAACTGGGATTCACCACTCTTCTTTCCTAGAGTACGCAGGTTATACCAAGATGTTTATAGAGGTACGAGCCGAACGCGACTGTATCTTCCTACAGAATAATATAAATGCTTCCAAAAAATGCGGCACCCATAATGGCTTAAAGCTAAATAGGCTGAAACAAAAGTTGTGTCGTACACTCGAGAGACATATAAAACTATATCTTTTTATAACATTGACTCAGATCTTTTGGCAGGTGTGAACAAAAACAAAGATCTTGGAGTGGTATTTGGACAGTACATTACGTGTCTTCAGTCATATTGATGACATTGTTAGTGCGGCTCTACGCACGCTAGGTAAATAGTCCTTGCACATTTCTCCCACTCTACAGTGCTTTGTATCGACCACACCTTGAATATACCCTTGTTCCTTCCAATGGAATTCGTTCCACTAATTTCACTGGGATCGAACTTGTTCAGAACAAGTCGTTTTCTCTTTCTACGGACATCGTTACGTACCAGGCAACGCGTCTAGTACAGTCGATGACCTAGGCCGTGTTCCAAAATTTACTCGATCTTACTCCAGGGTAGGGGTTTTGTACCTTGGCGTTCCAAAACCTACCCGCGCCCAGAGCTTTTCAATCTGTGTTGTCACGTGACACGACCCGCCAAGTAACTCGGATCCATTTGGGTAAGACTTGGAATACAACCCTAGCCGTCCCAGTTCACTGTAGCTTGGCGCTTCCTACTCTCCGGCGGAGGAGAGAACATTCTATTCAATTTCTATACAAACTTATCTACGGCATCACTGACTGCACTGCATTTCTGTCTGAAACCCATTTGAAAATCCCCCTAAGAACGACGAGACGAAATACGTCATTCAACTATGCGCGGCTAATTAATAATAATGATCCCGTGTCGAGGATTGGACGAACCTATAATTTCTCATTTTCAGACACTTTTGCTAAATTTAACAGTAATGCACCGGAGTTAAAGCACTAAACGTTCACACCTTAACTTATTTTACTGTTTCCTGCACTATTTCGTGTTGTTTAGAGGCAAGTTCGATGCTTTGGCTTCCTTTTCCCCTCTGCCTAATAATTGGTCATGGCCGTAGCACCGTCTGGCTTCTATGCATGATATGTATGTGTCGTTTAATAGGCTTTTTTTCCCTCATGTGTGCTGATTTTTGCAGTTTTACACAAAATATGTTGATTCAGTGCACCCATAAGGAGATCGCAGATTCTTTCGGGGCACTTTATTAAAACATTATTTGATTGATTTCGTGATTGGTTGATTGATTTATAGATTGATTGATATATTCTTATTATATTTCACCCTAACTTAATAACAGGAACGAAAAATTACAAAGTGAACGTAAACTCGTGGCGGTATCTCCCATATGCGAACGTTTTCGAGCTGCGCCTCGAGGTCTTCCAACACCGGGAATCTATATCAATAAGAAACCTATCAAACTTTTTTCTTAAATAATTTTGTGAGAATTAGAAGCACACTATTTTATAAGGAAAATATTTGTATGATAGAACGCGATCTGAACAGAGTTGGAGTAGGATTTCCTTATTTTGCTCAATACTCAAACGAAATTCGCATTTTCTCCAATGTATTCAAGGCAGACCTCGGCGACGTTTAGGAGGCTTGTGAGATAGGAATCATTGACATTCTAAACACACACACAAAAAAAAAAGAATTGTAGGATGAATTTCCAGGGAACGACTTCATTCGGTTTTACTCTGGCCTTCCTGAATCAAAGGTCTCAACACTAAAATCTCGCAGCAGCTTTTATTGCAGTACTCTTCATAATACGTACACACCGGAGAACATATGATTTTTAGTAATAATATCATAAAGTTCAACATATGACAAACGACAAATGAGCAGCTCCAGGGAGTTCTACCATGCGCAGTACCCTAAATATAAATGTTTACATAATGCCAATCAACATGAAACATCACAATTCCTGCTGAGAGTGAAAGGGAACTAGAGACGTTTTAGGTTACATGAGCCTAAAGAAAGAAAAAATGCGCACGTCACTTTGATCGTGGGACAATTTCTTTTCCTGATTGATCCCCCTCCCTCTTCCCCAGTTTTCGATACAGCCGGCTCGATCTCCGATTTGCGCCGATTCGGCTCGCTGCAGACAGAGGTTGCCTACCCTTGTGCTATGCATACCTTAATCCAACACAAAATAAATCTTTAAAAAAATACTTTGGTATATTAAATGTACAAAAAACCGAGCTACTGTTTTCAAGGTATTGCTACGTAGTCCCGATCAAAGAAAAAAACATTTATTTTGAGTGATTTCACTTTTTCGAGCTTAGGCATCAGTTGAGTCCCATGGATCTCAAAGCTGTTACTTTAATATATAGGGAACACGCCAAATAAATATTACTTACCTGCTTTTAACTTGATCCCGTAGGGTGCATTTCCATCCCTCATTAAAAGTTCGCCATCTATTGTTATTTCATCTCCCCTATAAAACAAAAAAATAACACGAGCCAATGGAAGCTTAAAGTAAACAAATCTAAACGCGCGGGTAAGTTTGTTTATTTTATTTCGTAAAAAGATGCGTTTCTTTTTTTTTTTTTAAATACGCAAGTAAAATATAAAAATCAACTCTTTTGGCGTCTCTTCACCGCGGTGGCACTGCTGTCGGCGATGCGCATGCGCAGATGCATTATCTCACGTGAATTCAGTTTTTGCGCACTCGCAGTGCCCACACATGGTGTAGACTTGAAAGCAATGTGTACGCGTATAACACGGAACTCGTTGAACCTCTCCTGCTTCAACTCTTTTTCGTGTTTGGATACTCCTAAGATTAACGAGATCGTTGTCATTTATGGGGCATTTGTATCTAAATATTTCTTCTCGTGTATTCGAAATTATTGGCTTAACACAAGGATAGATGCCGTGAGAATGAAAAAAAAATAATAAAGGAAAGTAGGTGCTCGTCTTGCAACTACGTAATAAATATATTAAGGAGTACGGTGTGCAGTGAATTATATTCTGTAAGAATCTATGAAATAAAATAAAAAATCTTTGAGCACGCCTATTTTCTGTTTTTTTTTTAATTGGCTTATTAAAACAATTCAAATGATCGATTATAATATTTACTTGAGCATCTAAGTGTACTCACCTATTACCACTTGTGAACATTGATGACATCCTAAATGAGAAAGACAGACGGTTATCATGTAACAAGTTTTTAATAGAATTTTACGAATGACTTCCCAGTTTTATTGAACAACATTTTGTATGCTGAACATGATTGTAAACCCGACACTGGCGGCAGAAAAGAGAACACAACAGAAGGTAGAAAAAGAGGAGGCAACGTCTCAATCTCAGCTGCAAAGTTTATTTCGAACACGCCTTATATACCACAACTCCAACGCCGTCTCTACAAAAAAAACATATATGAGAAGAGGACAAGGGAATTTGGGTAAACCTTCTCTCATCTCCCTTGACCTCGCCTGCGAAATACTCACACAATGGGTCACATTCTAGACCACCACCCCCCGGCAAGCGTCATATTTTTGTCATATTTTTATCATATTTTTTTTTTGTAGAGACGGCGTTGGAGTTGCGGTATATAGGGTGTGTACGAAATAAACATTGCAGCTGAGTTTGAGACGTTGCCTCCTCTTTTTCTACCTTCTGTTGTGTTCTCTTTTCTGTCCCAGTCTCAGGTTTACAATCAAGTTCAACTTACACCAGCTCGCGTGCACTCTGGCTATTTTCTTTTTCATTTTGTATGCCTCGTATTTGTTCACAGCAACAAACGTAGTGAGGCTGTGTCTTTAATACAGAGGCTATACCTCCTGCAACGCAAGATCTCATGCTTTCTACTCAAAACTTAAAGGGGCACTGACACATCAAAATAATTTTTTTATTTATTATTCAAAACGATTCAAAACGATGCCGGGACATTAGCCTCAAAAGAAACTTGGGAATTCAGTATTTGTGAAGTAAAAAAACAATTTCCAAATGGCCGAATTTGAAGTTCCCACGCGATCCGCGCCAGTGCAGTGAAGTAGAATTTTGCGGTCTCCTGCGAGTCAACTTTCTTTCGCACCTTCGCTCCAAATGAACGCGACCCGAAGCGAGGACGTCAGGAGCGGGAGAGAAGGGCGCTGGCGGACCGGGAAAAACCGGTTTCTTAGTCCGGTTCCCCGACTCACCAATCATCATCTGCTCAAGCGCTACCAACGTTTCCGAGGGAGGATACAAATCAAGGAGGCGACATCACACCAGACTCTGATTTTTGGCATCTCAAAAAGAAAAGCCGTAGTGCGCTCGCAATTGCGTTAGAAAACATGTTTAACGATTGCCGTTATTAAATGTTAAAAAAAATGTCGTTTATAAAGCTTCTAAATTTAAATATTTTTGACGTCACCAATCAAACGAAGTGAGGAGGTGAGGAGCGGGAGAGAAAAAGGAAAAATAACTCGACTTACAGAACCTGAATTCGACTTGCAGAAACAACAAAAGTGCGTGGGGGAATTGTTTTTCGCGATGTGTTTTTTTTTTGTTTGTTTTTTGCGTGTTTATTAATTTAACTTGCATCGTTTTGGATAATAAACAAATACAACCTTGGGGCCTCAGTGCCTCTTTAAAGGCCCATGAAGGCTAAACCTGTTTTTGAACCTGCCTTGGCGGCCTTCTGTTTGGTCCTCTACGGCGTATGATTATTCGATCAGCTCGAAAGAGCTGGCGATGTAAACTGCCTCGACAGATTGCTATTCTAGCCACTAGGTTCAGTTGAGTTCAATGGTGCCTCCAATACTCTTTCTTTTCATATATAACCTTAAAATAAGTTAAATAAATTACAAAATAATTTGCATTGAAACATTCATTAATGAAAAAACTACCGCTTGAAAACGCCCTTTCAAAGACCATCTGACTCCGCCAAAAATAAAACCCGCCCATCGAATTGCCGCTTGCGCTAACTCTCTTTACAAAGTATACGAATTTAGATTTCATGAATTCATTGTTTTTTGTCACATGTTTACTGAGTTGTCGAGGACAACGGTGCAATAAAGAGAACTGCAACTTGCGACTCCTCAAGCCACATCGCAATCTTCAACGTGATTCACCGAAAGAAAGGTGCTAGATACTGTTAAAACACACATCTATACCTAATAAATAATTATAAAAATAAAAATAACATAAAAATAACCATTCATATCACTATCGTGTCGACACGCGATTCGAAAAGGCTATGTCATTCTCATGTAAATTAACCGACATTTGACTGACGTATGTTGCCCCTTCCTTTTCTATCACAAAGGCTTCCAGCAGTTGTCTTGGAGTCTTATCCACCACATTCCCCCAAAATCGTGGATACAGTCGAAGTTTGGCTTACATTTGCAAACCAAACAGTGTAAAGATGTGTGCCCTCCCACAGTTCATCCAAGCGGTAACGGGTGCTCGCGCGCTCAGTCGATGAAACAACAACCCATCTGAACGGGATTCGATACACCCCTTTCCCTCCGTGGTGTATCAAATCTCGTAGGCGTGGTGTATCAAATACTGTTGAGCTGTGGTCGAGCCTACATTTGACAGACGGGCCCTTGCGTCACAAACCGAACGCGCGAGCACGCGTTGTCGCTGAGACCAACTGTGGGAGGGTCACCTACATTTACACTGTGTGACTTACATGTGTAAGCCAAAATTTTACTTTATTATGATTCTGGGGAACTAGGTTGAGAAAACTCAAAAACTGCTGGAAGAGTTTGAGATAGAAAAGAAAAGTTCAACTTGCGTTAGTCGAACTGCGGTTTGTTTACATAAGAATAAAGTAGCCGTTTCAAAGCACGTGTCAGCGCGATAGTGTTGCGGATAAGTGGTTTGAAATTTTTTTCTCTTTTTATTAAATAATTCGTTTATAGTCAATCGCTTGTCCCGTATACACCTTCCTTGTCTTTGTTATTTGTGCGCTGTTTACAGTTATATTCTCACAAGTGACGAATGATGGAGCGGTCGAGAACTAAAGAAACTAAAGTTTAATGGCGAACTTGTGCCACTAAAAGCAAAAGAAAAATAACAAAGAAAAATAACAGGACGTCGTGGGCGTCGGCGAGGACGCTTGCTCGAGCGCTTGCAAAAGACGGACACCGGTTCGGCACACGGAGCTCCTTATGTAGTCGCGTGGGCTTACGGAACAATCGGCGCAGAAAGTTCGGCGCGTGGTAGGTTGGTATTTCGAATAAGCAACAGATTTCTCGAATTCTCCACAACTCGACTTAGAGAAATAACAAAAGGGGCGTCCGCTCCCAGGAAGCAAACCTCAATCCTTTGCGTGGGGGTCAAGCACAATAACCATCCGACCATGGGCGCGCTCCTGCGCGCCCATGGTTCCTGCGCGCGTGAGCGCGGCAAGCCAACTTTTAAAGTTCATCGCTTAGATGCATCGCAAAAACTAAATAAAGCAAAACAAAAAGGAACAATCCACTGAAGAGTAACCTGGAACACAAAACCTCTGCTATCGTATCGAGCATAGAGGGGCTTGAGTCGAACGACGTGAACCACCTCGGTTAGCCGTCGGCCACATGATGATGCATTCGTTTTGTCGGAAACCAGTTCGTAGTTGAGATCTCTGAGGCGTCGACGAACCTTGTATACTCCAAAGTAGCGCTTTATAAGCTTCTCACTGTGGCCACGACGTCGTGTCGGTGTCCACACCCCGGTTTCCGGGCTGAAAGTGAACGTCCCGACGACGGATTTAGCGGGCTGGTTTTGGCTTCGGACTCGAGCGAGCTGGCGGACTTCCGCTCGTTGCGCAACTACCTGGGCGTCGTCCCTTCCGTTACCAGCTGGTTCGTGAGGTAGCATGGCGTCAAGCATCGTGGTCACCTTGCGACTATGCACCAGATGGAATGGTGTAACACCGGGGGTCTCCTGAACAGCTGTGTTGTAGACGAACGTGACATACGGGAGGACCTCGACACTCCACGTCTACGTACATCAAATCATGTCCGCGATGGTCTTGTTTACGCGTTCCGTCATCCCAATAGTATGACGACGGTGCGGTGCGGTTCACCGGTGTTTGGTTTGGCTGGGATGAAAGATCTCTTGCATCAGGTGTGCCATGAACGATGACCCGCTATATTTAATTAGAACTTTGCGAGGGCCGTGCCGGAGCCCGGTGGACTCGATGAACAACGTGGCAACTTCCACAGCAGGCCCTGAAGGAACGGCTTTTGTTTCGGCGTACCACGTGAGACAACCTGTGGTGACAATTACCCATCGGTTTTCCGACGTTGACGGCGGAATAGGGCCAAGTAAATCCGTTCCGATCTGCTTAAACGGCATGAACGGGGGCAATCGAATACAGAAGTTCTGACCGCTTCGTCGGTGGTTTCTTGCGTCGCTGACACTCATGGCATGATCGAGTATAGAGGTGAACGGTCTTGGGAGCCTAGGTCAGCGGTACTTTTCACGAATCCTGGCAAGCGCGCTGCTTTAGCCAAGGTGCCCAGCCGTCGGATCGTCATGGCAGGCTGGGAAGATTTCTTCCCTGAGTCTGTTAGGTATTATTGGTAGCCATGCCAGGTTGCTGCTCCGGAAGTTTTTAATGCGAAAGCATTATTTGTCTCATGGAGCGAGCCGACGTCCTCAGCTTTGAAACCGCGCCAAACGGCACCTTAAATCCTTTCTCCAATCGAAGCTAGCTCCCAGTTATAAAACCAGACGCAAAGCTAACCAACAGCACCAAAATTACCCGACCCCGAAGCAGCGGAGTAAAGCTGATGAATTTTCGGCTTCTTTTCCATTGGCCGGCGCGCGTCGACGAGGCTCCCTCTGGCCGGGCACGCAAGGCCATGGGGTCGTTGAAACTGACGCTGCGCGTCTGATTCAACGACCGGCCACCCCATGGCGCTGCCACACACGAAACGTTCAAAGTAGCAGCACTTGCCAGCAGAGCGGAGCGGAGGAAGGATGTACATGCTTTCGCATTCAGAGCTCATAAGAAGTGCTTAGGTGTACCTGGAGCCTTTTTTTTAGAGAACATCCAGTCAAATGGCGAAGCTTGACAACCCTTAGGGAAAAACGCAGGGTACGGCACTTCCTTGGCCTTCCGGGTGCTCAACCATGACACGGAGTTTGCAGTCGTCACGCCAAATCCCTGCGATGTCGGCTGCCTTGACTGGGCCCAGGAAACCTTCATTCTCCTCGTCGTCAGTTATGGCAGGTGGTGACTCGACGGGAGCTCTCAAGAGACAGTCGGACGGGGGCTCTCGACCGACAGTCATTTGAAACTCTTGCATTCGTAGACTCCAGCGAGCAAGGCGTCCAGGGGATCTTTATGGTTCGCGAGCCAGCAGAGCTAGTGGTGATCTGTGATTACGCGGAATGGACTACCGTAAATGTACGGGTGAAACTTCGTTATCGCCCAGACAACAACAAAGGCACGCTTTTTCTGCCGTTGAGAAGTTTCCCTCCGCCTTAGAAAGTGACCGACTTAAGTAAGCGATCACTCGATTTGTGCCCTGCTGTCCTTTGACCAGTCCGGTATTACTTGCGTCGGTGTGGATTTCCGTTTCTGCGAACTGGTCGAAATGACCGCGGATAGGTGGCGTCTCGAGCAGCTGCTTAAGCTCGTCGAATGCCCGCTGTTGTTCTTGTACCGATTGGAACTTCACAGCTTCCTTTTTGAGATTCGTGAGCGACGCAGAAAGCTTGACGAAACCTTGAGCGAAGCGCCTACATTAGGCACATAAACCCAGGGCTCTTCTAACGGCCTTTTTGTCCGGTAGCGATGGAAAATGTGGCTAAGACCCGCATTTTCTTGGGGTCAGAACGAACTCCTTCGTTGTTCACGACGTGGCCTAAGAACTTCAGTTTGTCATAGGCAAAACGGCATTTTGTCGACTTGAGTGTGAATCCAGTATAGTCTTGATCGCTTGTAGTGCTGCTCGAAGGCGTCTCAGGTGCTCGTCGAAATCTCGTGAAAACACAACAATGTCGTCTATTTAGACAAGGCGGCTCCGCCATTTCAGACATACTAGCACAGTGTCCATGACACGCTGAAAGGTTGCGGGCGCCGTGCAAAGTCTAAAATGCATAACTTTAAGCGCTTACAATACGTCGGGCGTGACGAAGGCCCTCTTCTCATGGTCTCGTGTGTCCTTTAGATCTGACAAAAGACACTCTTGATGTCCTTTGACGAAAAATATCAGGTGTGGCGCAGCCGGTCCAGGGTGTCGTCGACTCTGGGCATCGGGTAGACGTCCTTCTTCGTCACGGCGTCCGTCTTTCCTTACCAGGACGACTGGCAACGCGCAGGAACTACTTGAAGGCTGGATGAAGCCGTCATTGAGCATTTCTCGTACTTGTTCTTGGATTACTTTCTTTTCTTCTATGGAGACTCGGTACGGCGAATAGCGCACAGGGAACGCGTCGTCGTCGGTAACAGTGAGGTGCTTCGCAACCGTTGTTTGTGCCGCCCTTGAGGAGGTGGCAGAGCACTCAGTGAACTCGCAGCGGAGTTCAAGGATGCGCGGTCGCTCTCTAGCAGGATGTTTCAGAACGATGCCCAATTCCGACAGTGACCTTCTTTGGGGCGGCGATGAATTCGATTCCTCCGAAAGTGAAGTGATGACGGCTGAGTCCTGAATTTCCCCTACGTGGCCCATGGCGGTACCTTTCGTAAGGAGCTGTGGTTCTTATCGGGCGTTTGTGATGAGGACTGTGGCGCGCCCGTCTCCAACTCTGTTACACTCCTTGCTACTCCGAGCCCCCTTCCTAGATTCTACTGGACGCTACCCTCAAGCAGAACTTCGACGCAGGAAGCTTTATTGGTCCCGTCAGGGACAGAAACACTTGACCGCAGAGTCAGGTTTACATGGTTGGCAACGACACGGACCATGGATGATATCGTTTCCGTTTCCTCCGGTGGTGGGACAGGTATTGGTATATTCAGCCTGTTCGCTCCCAGATCAATGACAAGACCGTACTCTCACAAGAAGTTCAATCCGAAGATAGCGCGCCCCTCACACAGTCCTCAGGAGCGGTGATCTTAACTGACAGGTTTTGCCATGAATATAGACGCGAGCGGTGAATCTATCGACAGGTATGATGGGTTTACTCCAGCTGTTCGTATCTGTGGGCCATCTCAAAGAGTCGTAACTTCTCGAAAGCGGCGAAAGCGTTTCGTTGAGAATCGAGTAGTCTGCTCCGGTGTCGATAGGTGTCGTCGCGTCGAGGCCATCGATAACTATGTTGAGGTTGTTCGGCACCGTCGCAGAGGCGTTCTTCCGTGGCCTATCGTCGTTAGAGTGGGAGACCTCCAATGTTTGGGGAGGATCTTTACTTCGTCGCTGAACGGCAACTCCACCTCCCGGAGTTGTCGCGATTAGTTTTTCCGGCTTGGTATGGGCGACAGGCTTTGTCGGCGGGAACGGTGAAGTGTTGACTTTGGACGTCGCGGGGACGGCAAAAGAAATCCTTGGGGAGCAGCCGACATCGGAGACGGCGATCGGAGCAGGTACTTGTCGACGTCTCTCGGCCGCTCACCAAGGCGGGGCCGAGGATAATTCGGCACAAACCCTCGGAAAGCCATCTGGCGGAAGCTGCACCGTCGGTTTAAGTGGCCGGCCTGTCCGCAATGGTAGCAAGAAGGGCGACGGTCGGCCATTCCCCACTCGTCGGTCTTCGAAGGGTGCACGAGGCTTCTGGTGGGCGGATGGCACTTGCTCGTCATGGCGTTGGGGCTAATGCTCCGCTCCTATGCATCGAACCTCGGTCCTTGGCGTGGAAGCTAAGCACGATAACCATTCGGCCACGGGCGTGCTGCCTACTTGTATAGCTCCGCGCACGGCAATATCATCAACAATCTCGCCTGCATCCCCACTTTAAAACACAAAACAGAAGCACATATCCATCAATCGTATAGAAATGAAAAATAACTGATTTTTCTTTTGCAACACTTTGTTTTGTGAAATAAAGAATTTTGCTTATAACTGACTTTGTCATGCCCGGTTCTCTCATCATAAACAGACGTACCTTTCTTGATGACCTCACTACTTTATTTATTATCTTCGGTCGCACATTTTTAAACATGCATATTCACGACTACTGCCAACGCAATTTCGTCTCAGCGAACCGTGCTTTAATAGTAACTCTATAATACGAAGTGACCGTTTGGCATCTTCTGTAACGTGGCGGTGCCACCTACTGATATGACAACCATTTAAGGAATGCAAATGTAACCTGCATGTTGTGATCTATGGTTGTTTAAATCATTGTAAACATATTTTCAACCTAATTTTTGTAGCAGGTATTTTCCATGCGAGCTATTCATAATTGTCGGAATAGAATACTGAATGACAAAAAACGTCCTTTATCTTCTAGTCATATGTTGCACCGCTGAATTAAAAATTCTGTCACGTAAAAATGTGTACAATATGCTCACGTGGTTCGTTCACCAAGAAGCCGGACGGCGACGCTTTGTTCTTCACCTTTGTCCAAGTAGTGGAACCTGACGCATTTCACCATGTACTCGACGATGAAAGGCGTTCGAAAGATTTCAAACCAGGTTCCCATGAACTGCACCGGAAAGACATGTTTTGCCAGCGTTATCCTCAAAGATATGACAAGTCCCCATATTCAACACGGAATCGTTATCCGGCACCTTCCGCAATATATACCACTGTAATATCTGTCACTCAATGTGCTTGCAACCAGACATGTACCTAATGTGTTACTAGTAACGAGGTATTTTCCTTCTTACCTTGTTATTTTTTTGTTGACTGGTGCATTTTTAGAAAAGGAACAAGTAACGTACTTAGTTACTTTTAAGGCCAAGTAGCGAGTAATTCTAACCTAAGTATGCGTCGATTGTAAAAAAAGGCAGATGGACAACCCGAAAAGAAGCTAAACAGTATGACAGTACTGCAGCGGTTATCGCTGAACAGGTTAGTTAAAGTCTACAGGTTGGAATGCCCTTCACCCAGCGAACACAATAAGGTTTGTTGGTTGAACCTTTTAATATCGTGTGGAGACCGAATGTAAACCCGGAGGCTGGCAACACAGGAAGGGACAGAACCCCTTGCCAGCTTCGAACTTTAGAACCGTGCAGAACAAAAGAGAGAGGGGAATTCCAGATTCACCAGCTCTTCCTGAAGCACAACACTGCCGTACCTTCGAGCGCGTCACAAGAACGACTCTTCAGCGTAGCCGTAGATGCATTTTCAAGGAAGCGGGAAAACATAACTGATAAAAACTTAGAGTTATAGCTACTGCTTAAGTGCAAGAAGTGCTGAAAAGAAAACAATACACAATAAAACATAATCAGTTGCGTATTTGGTCGTCAAAGTAACGAGAAAGGTAAGCTACTTTTTATGTAAAGCAGCACGTTGCTTTTGAGAATCGGTAACGAGTAACATATTAAGTTGCGCTTTGAGCGAGTTATAAGTAAAGTTACCTAGTTACTTTTTGAGTAACGTGTAAATGTCCGTTTCCAACCACTTGTGGTCGATACAACAAACGCGTTTTGGAACCATCGTAAATTTAACGAGCAGAGCAAAATTTCATGGCACAAAACAGTCAGCTAACTTAGAGTGATGTTCTTATGAGCTGCTCTTTAAAGTGCAGGATATATGAAGTCATGTGTTACTTGACCGTGCTGAAATATTAATGACTACATTTACACCATCCCCAGAATTTCATAAAGAATGTAGATACAGCATCAAGGTCCCCCTCCCCCCCCCCCCCCCCCCTCTTTCAAATATTTGGATTTAGGCTTAACAGCTAAAGTAACGTGTTCAGTAACAGTACTTAAACGCTTTTAAGATTTAGTATTTAATCTGCCTCATTGTCCGGAGAAGCAATTTTGAAACTTTTCTGAAATGTTCAAATGCTTCAGACATCTTTTTTTTCTTTTAGAATCAGGTGTCATCGACGTGTATAATCATGACCCCCTTACAATCATTTCGCAGGCATATGCTATGCCTTGCGAAAAAAATAGTACAATCCCACCTCACCATTAAAATGCAGGAAACACGAATAAATAAATAAATATCAACCAATAGCATAGATACTGCTCTACTGCAAAAAAACTAGGTAGCGGCTAGGATATAGGCGTTAATATTATGAATCATGCGAATTGTTTTTCAACCACCAATCCCCACAATTTCCTTATGAAATCGCGTGCCCCATTCATGTCCTATATTCCTCAGCTTCGCGGTACCCGATAAGCGACTGGAATACAGTTAAAACACTGGAGGGTTGGTTCAAAAAGGATGAAAGCGATTTTAGGGCGCAGCTCGAATGCCCGTGCCCCACTACAGCGACAGACAGAGGCAAATGACAAGGACAACCCTCGAACCCATGCGGCATGCTCGGGATGGCACCTTTGACAGGCGTTTAGTCGTTCGGTGCTCGTGAAGTGAGCACGAGCGATTGCAAACCTGCCACAAATACCCTCGCGTGCATGATGGTCGTGTTTGAGCATAGACTCCTTTATTCTACGAAGCCTCTCAAATCGCGAAAGACTCTGGTTTCAGGCTTGTTGTTGTCTTAGGTGCCCGTTTCCGGCTTAAGCGGCGTCGGCGTCGCCGTCGCCGTCGGTGACGCCGCCGGCGTAACCGTGAGGTCACGTGACCTTGGTGACATCACGTGACCCCCTTGAGGTCACATGACCCCCGAGAGGTCACGTGACTTCGTGAGCTCACGTGACCACCATGACGTGACACTACCCCCATGAGGTCACGTGACCCCGGCGACGTTACGTGACCCCCGTGAGGCCACGTGACCCTCGTGAAGTCACGTGACCCCCGTGAGGTCTCGTTACCCCGGTTGCGTCACGTGACCCCGATGACGTCAAGTGATTCCCGTGAGGTCACGAGAGTCGTGCGACGTCACGAGGGTCACTAGACCTCACGGTTACGCCGAAGGCGACGGCGACGCCGACGCCGCTTGGAGGGAGGGGTAGCAGGCAGGATGAGGAGGTGAGGATGAGGGAAAAGGGGTATACCCTCCCCTCAGTACCCTTCCCCTCCTCCTCGGCAAGAGCTGCGCTCTATTTCGGGGTGACAGGGAATTGGAAACGGCTTTCATTTTTTTAATATATTTTGCTTACAGAAATCTATAAAACGCTTCTGTGACCCCTATTATTTGTGTTTTGAACATTTTGTTTGCTTCGTTGTTTTGGGATATATATATATATATATATATATATATATATATGTGTGTGTGTGTGTGTGTGTGTGTGTGTTTGTGTGTGTATTGCATATTTTCGATATCACAAGGAGAGGACATTAAAGGAACCTTGTTGAAAAGAAACCAGGTACGATAAAAAAGAGCTTACTGCAAAACGCCCAGTCTTCAAATAAATGGGGGCAAAACCCCTGGAGCTCCAGCGTCGCAGCAATGAAAACAGAGAGGAATATTTCCCACGACTTGATACATGTGATTAATAATACATACAAGGTAATGTTTCTCAGCTGAGGTGAAGCCGCTAGGCCTTCTTCTCACAAGTACCAATCACGACACTATATATAGTACGATACGTACAACATATCGTGTCGTGGCTATTGCGTCGCAAAAGTTTTTGATTACGGAGCACAGTCCCCTTGACAATGCTTCGTAATGTTTGTAACTCGGCACCCTGGCATATGTAATCCGTACAGCGGACAAACCAAATGCAATATAGAGACGGAGGTTATTTACGTTGCTCGCCTAAGGTCAGACATGAAGCAGTGCCCAAGAGTGAGAGGGAGGCTATTCTTAAATTATCTTAAATCCGCTTAAATCCGTGATAATCTCCTGAAGGCTGTCTTGAATGGAATCCGAAGTCATCTTATTTGGAGCACTTCCTCGAGAACTCACCCTGTTCACTTCGAACTCGTCCTTCTCCTTGAGCGTAGGGCACAGCCCAGGCATCACCATGGCGGAAACGAGGCCCACAACCAGACTCACTCCGATTCCCGTTGATACAGCAGCCCGAATCGCAGCAGCTGCACGGGCCATCTTCGAAATCGTCCGCTGGGAGAAACAAGCGCCCGTTTTCGAAGCTTCAAAGTCGGGGCCGGTTACTGCAAGAGCCGAGCACCGACTCCTCCGCTCCAGGGAGTCCGGATGAACTCGCGCATTACCCGCCGTGTCGTTCACTCCGCCATGGTCGAGGTGCTCCGCCGCGGTTGTAGGCCTACTTATCAAGGCTGCGAGGCTGACGTACGATGGTACCTGACTCGCTATTGTTAAGGCGCCGGAGAAGCGTGGGACGCGCTCCATGTCGGCACTGCTTACATGTCGGTTGCTCCGCGCTATCGCAGCTCCGTCTTCGGGTGCCCTTCTCTGGCAGCCCGCGTTTCAATGTCGAGGTCATCGCCACGCCTACGCGGATCGCACTTTTCCAAGGCGCGGATGTGTATAATCTGCCTTATCGTGCGCATGACCGCAGCGGCGGAACGTGTCGCCTTTCTTCTGGTGGCTCGGGGCATGGAGGTATTATGCCGATGAGTGAGTGTTTTGCCAGAAAAAAAAAATAACATAAAAGTGAGGCGTCAGTCCCCCCGTTAAATTTTTTTAAAGATTCTGAAGAAAACCTCAGCGTGCTTAGTTGTTGCCGTAAGAAAGTTTAAGATGTTTATAATTAGCGTTTCCTTCATTATTTCACAAGCAGTAAATGTTGTTTGAATTAAAGACGAATTCCATTTCCAAAGCATATGTTTCAATATAGAGTGCGTCAACCCGATCTGGATTTGTAATATCCCTACCGCGTAATGCATGTTATGAACCAAGCTTACAGTTGCAGTGCACTAGCCGCGGCACCCGTTATTGGCGACGTGCGCGACCGAAAGTGTCGCTGTGGTCGGCTTTCCCCGATTGGCCGAACGCTGACTATGACGTCAGAAAAGGATTTATCATCGACGGAAATAGGAGGAATAAAAGAACTTTAATTTTGACGGTGTTGGCAGTGTTACATTGAGAGCGTAATGATTTCAAGCTTCCACCATGCTATTTACAAACACCATCGAACTTGTTGTTTGCAAGGTAATGACGTCACAAGGGGGAACCATAGGAGGGCGCCACCAAAATATTTCGCCGCTAATATATCTCGAAAAGAGGAAACATTTGAGGCCGGTCTAGTTGGCATTTTGCAAATGGCATTTTTTGATGGATTACTAGTACTTTCTTATTCTGAAATGCTGTTCTCACGTCGATTATCATTGTTCTTAGTAACATATACTTTGAAGAGGATACTGAAACTGTATTATAGAGTTAAAGCTTCTTACTGTTCTTTAGTGTCTCTCCATTACAAAATTACTCTATTGCAGGTATGTTTCTTTTAACTACGAGCTTAATTTGACATCTTCATGTGTTCTCGAACTTCATTACAGTAATGATTCCTTTAAGATCCTTTCTAGCGATATTTAATATAGCTTGTTTATATCTAAACTGTACGATTTCAATATAACGTTTTCGTTTTGATTAGAATATTTTTATTGTGAAAACCGGCATGGGACGATTACGTGAATGCCGTTTCATATGTTATAGATCATATCCCTCACCACGTTTAACTATGAACGGAAAGGTTATAAAGAGAACATTTTTTTTAAGGCGGTACTTTTTCACGAGTCCACCAGCTCTGTGCTACCGCTACCCAGTATTATACCTATCCCAATGGCGTAGGTTTATGTTGGTCCTAATGCTATTGCTTGCTCCTTGACCTTATGTGATGACCCGATATATCACATAGTGTGAGCCATAAGCTCGCAAAATTTTACTAAGGTACCTGAACAATCACGATGAAAACTTCGTTTTGAAGGGGTTGATTCACCAAAATTTAGTTATGGCGAATAGACCGATCTCACCAGCCAGTTTGACTACGCCACCGCTGCCGCGAAGCATCAAGGAAAATTTAGTCTTTCTGTGCGCGCGTCAACCTCCCTGGAGCTCTGCGCGTGCAGGCCACGAAGAGGCTCGTGCACTGCCGATCGCCTTCTGTGAACTAAAATTATGGCTGCCTCGCGCATGCGTCGAAAGCTTGGTGAGTTCGATCTATTCTGAAATCCTCCTAAGAGATCAATCTTTGAACCTAATTCGTTTCTTTTGTATTGTAGCCAACGGTTCGCCACGGGTGCGCGAGACTGCGTCACATACCCGAAGCCTGTGGGGAGCGCGCAAGCGGCGCGACCCAACACCACCTAGAATAATCAAAGCCTCCTTATTGCTTCTTCTCATTTCATGTCACACCACCACAGTCGGATTGCGGTGACTCGGCTATTGGGCCCGAGTCCGACTTTCGGCGCGCTGATTGAACACGAGCCCTGGCCGAACACTGATGCAGCTTTCGTGCCCAATCTCAGGCCTCGACCGATCTGACTGTGATGACTGTGTGAATTCCTTCTGCTTATCTAGATGGTGTTGCGCTACCACAAGGAAAAGAGGACTCTGATACTCACCTACTATGGCCGCGGGAGCGGAACCATGCCGCTCAACGCCATTCCTTTCTTGAGGTACTAAGCCCAGTTTTATTTTCCCTTGTCCGGCATAAACTACTCGGAAGTGGAGTCAACAGCGAACGCTCCAAACGTAAAAGATCGTCTGCTCACCCCGACAATGGGTTTTCGGAATCGCCACGCAGCATCTTCAACCGCCACGAACAGCGAAGAAGATGGTGGGAACAAAGACAAAGAAAGCGGAAAAAACTGGCAACGCAGCAGATACGATTCTGGAAACAAACTTCGGCCTCCGTCTGTAACGGGACCTGATTCAGAGCCCGACGTAACGGCCACTGACTAGACCGCAGTCCAGACGGTTGTGAGAGAAGCTATCAGTGGAATGGCGCTTCTACCGACGCAGCCGGAGGTTGCTGTGCCCGTCATCGGTGTGGGGGAGACGGCGCCGGCTGACGCCTCCGACATTCAACGAGATGCCCGACGGTTGGCGCGTGGATGCTACGAATTGACAGCCTTGCGGACATCTACCAATGGACAGTTGCAGGACGTCAGCCAGGTTGATGTCCTGTAACACGCACACGAAGCTCGAGGATCAAGCGGAGAGCAGGTAGGGTTCCTTGTTGTCGGGGGAAAAAACGTGGACGGAATAGAAGGAAGAGTTCAAGCGTGCGTTTCCATCGACAGCATCGCTGCAGTGTGTGCATCGCGACATATAAGCTCGGCGTTCAAAGCGAGGTGAGCCAATGGAGTCGTACTACTAAGACACATTTGGAAAGCTCGCCGGTGTAACCTCTTTGAAGAGGCATGCGTCGAATGCATTATTACCTTACTCGGCGACAAAAATGCTATTTGAGCGGTTAGCCTGCGCACGTATGAGTCCTCCGAAGAATTGCTTTCATTGCTTGAACCGTTCAGAAATGCGCCACAGCAGCATGGCGTCCTTGGCTTCGTCGGCGTTGAAGAGGGACTGTCTTCAAATTGCATTAATTTCGTTCTTGAAATTGATGAGCCTCCTGCGGGATGCAGCTCTGAGGTTCCCCGGCTGACCAAAAAGTGGCGGCACATAATATTTCGTACATTGGATTTTGAGCATGAGTGTCGTCCTTCTTTGTCCCACATTGTAAACTTTAGCAGCGCAGAACAAAAGTATACATCCACCATTCGTTTTCGCGTATACCTAGTTCGCATTTTGATCGCTACATTTTGTCCCGCTGAGGTATACGGCCAACCTGAATCTCCTTTGTACCAGTAGCCTCCTCGCACCTGAGCCAATAAGAAAGTAGGGCGTGCGTTGCCTCCGTTCGAATACGTAGCAACCGACCAGTTAACTGTCGCCGCTGCTGTTGATCGCATTCGGCTTTGCGTTGGTGCATGCGCGTACGTGCGTGGAAAGTCGTCGAGCGCGATGGCAACTCTTCACCAGGCAAAAGAAACACACGCGTTTTTTTTATTACCTAAATAAAGCAACCCAGAGTGTTGCATATGGAAATGCACCCAAGCTCAAGCTTCTACCGATAAGCAAATGTCGAGAGCGTCGTCACTGCGGCAAGCTTTTCGCTCCCTCGGCTTCCAGGGTCCCAACAAGAAAACGACTCCAGGAAGATGTTTGCCCCGGGTGCTTGCCAGCGATCCCCTTTTGCAAGGACTTGCTTCTCCATTTGAGCCACTGTTAGCATAATGGTCGGGTTATTGTATGACGTAAAAACCTCCAATAATTGTTTCTAGGTTGCAAAAACTTTATTAATATTTTTAAAATATTCATTACATCGCTCGTGTGGGCTAGAAAAACCTAGAAAAATGCACACCGGGCTTTTTTTATATTTATACATTGTTTTATCTAATAAATATTGTCAATGTTTACTATGCGTTTTTTTTTTAGACATAGCAGATTGATTCTTTAATCCTCCCCATCAGAAGAGCGCGGGAGAGCAAGTTATTGTAAATTTAATTATATTGTAAAGTACAGTTTGGTTAAGAACATGTTGTTTTTACTTAAATGACATTGCTTTATATTCTCCTCCGTGATTATGCGCTTGATTTTATGTAACAACTTTACGGTGTAGCGAACTGCGTTAGGTCATGCCGCACATTTAGGATGAGCAAAGAATGATCAAAGGCGCCTTATGCGGTGGCTTTGATCACCAATTGCTGACCCTGTTGTGCAGGCGAGTGTGATCATCGCCAGGCACCACTAAGGTAGTAAAATTTTAATATTAGTTTTACTATTTCGTTTAGAGTTTGCGTCACCTGGCGTTGTCTGAGCTGCTACCTCCACTTCAAGTACAATGTAATGTAAATTTATGAGGCTTATAAATCTTGTTTTATGTATTTCCTCATAGGGAACAGCTTTTAATTAAAATGAATGTAGGATATTTGTCACAAGATTGTGAGCTGACATTAACAAAGTAAGTGTATTTTCATTTTTTTTTTTTTTTTGCTTTGCCAATTATTTATGTCGGGGTCAAGTAGGCATAATATCTGGATATGTCCAAAGCCTTTGATAACGTCAATCACGAGTTCATATTGCTGACACTCGGAGGCTATGGCCTCAGTCCTGAGTACATT